TAAATACATCTATATTATTATACCTACGGCAAGCTGCAAATAATTTTGTTCATTTTTTTTTTTTTTGAATTTTGTAACTGTTTTTTTTATGGGAAATTTGCTGTATTATTTTATTTTATTTTATTTTTATATAAAAACAGATGAAATTTTAATAAATTTTTAAGAATAAATAAACTAATATTAAGTGATGGAGTTTGTACAAAATGAAAAGAAGAATAAGGAAAAATAAAAAATAAAATTAAATGGAGCTAGCAAATTAATAAAAAATTACATGTTAATGTACCAAATTAATAAAATAATATTGAACGAAATTAATAAATAATTACATGTTAATGTACCAAATTAATAAAATAATATTGAACGAAATTAATAAAAAATTACATGTTAATGTACCATATTATAACCTTAAAAAATTAGTGGATAATAATGTAATTCAAAATTAGTAAACTAAAATTGCATTCTTCTTTTACACCTACTTACGAACGCAGTTTGGGGTTTGGGAATTCATGAAATTAGGGCAGAAACTCACAATAACAATAATTTAAAAAAAAAAAATGCAATATCAGAATTTTACTAGCCAATGAACTTTAATTGTTAGGTCAAACCATTTAGTTTTCAATTTGTTTTCTTTTAGTTATTAGAATTTCCCCTTATTATAATATTTAGAACTTAAATCGAATAGGGTCCAATAGCTACAATAAAATGATGAAGTTTTAATAAAAATTCTACCGCAAATATATTCCAATTAAACTTCAACGGCAATTTCAATGAATATTCGATATTTTCGTTAAAATTTTCAAATGGATTTCAACAAAAAATTCAATAAAGATATTTTCTTGGAAAGAGCTTTCCATTGAAATTCCGTTAGATTTTGACTATTCCAACGATAGATTTTCCAACGGACGTGTAAATAAAAATTCCAACGGAAACTGTATATTTCAACGGATATTCTTACGACAAAAAAACTGGTGAAAAAATAGATGTTGGAATCATAAAATTCCATCTAAAACTCCAATGGAAAACTTATTCTAATTGAATATTTCCGTTGGAATCATTTTAACGGAAACTATACCATTGAAATATCGGCAAAATTTCAAAATTCGTCCTCTAAGGTGGCCACTTTCCAAAATTGCACCCCGCCATTGGCCACTTTCATTTTGGGTTCTATAGATTGTCTATTTAATCAAATTTAGTCCTATTTTATCCGCCTCCAGATTAAAAATCGACATGGCGTCACGTGGCGTCTAATCAGATTTATTTTGGTCCTTTCCAGTGTGATGTGTCACTCTCACCGCCACGTGGACACATACAAGTGGATAAAAAAATAAAAAATAAATAAATTAAAAAGTGAAAATAATACCTAATAATTTCCATGTCATTTTTATTTAATGTTTATATTTTCATTAAAAATTTAAAAACCAAATTATTTCCAAAATAATAAAATCTGCTAATTTCCAAAAAAAAAATCACAAATCTAAGCTACAAGCTTGAGAAAAAAAAAATCACAAATCGTGGGTGACGACGTCGTTGCGGGAGGCCATGTGGGGCGGGATGAGTACGTTTGACTAGCAATCCGCCCACCGTGGGTCGGAATCGAAATCGTACGTGGCGGCGGCCGCCCGCTTCACCTTCTGTAGATCCTCTCCTTCTCCGCTACCCATGGTTTTCCGATCGTTCTTCGCGAATCTATAGAAAAATTAAATTAAAAAAAAGGGAAAAATCTGAGTTTACAGTGTCTGTGGAAGAATATGAAGTCCACTATGATACTATCCTTGAAGTATCTTCTTCCTCTACTTTGATATATACGATTTATATATCATGGCCATTTTCTAGCCATTTGCTATATTTGCCGGAAAAAGTCGCCGGTTTTGGAGATAATGGACGTCGACGGGTGCGCGTCGGAGCAAGAAGTCCGGAGGTGTTGTCGGGTTTCAGTAGGTCGCCGTGAATTGCCGGAAAATTGAAGAAGAAGATCGAATTTTGACCAAATTTTTCTAGATCTAAAAACCTTGACCAAAGCAATTGACGATCTTACTGATTGAACTTTCGCCTAAAATTTTAAGGGGTGAACGAGGACGAGACGAGCTTCAGGTTGATGTAAAAAAAATCCGATCGGAGGTGCTCAAACGGCGTCCGGCGGCCGGATTCCGGCAGATGGGTTGAGACAAAATATGATTTTGAATTCAAGGGCACATTTTTTAAAATTTAATTAATTTTAGGGACTATAGTGTAATTAAAAAAGTTTTAGTTTATTGCAATTTAAGTCTGGCATGATGTGGATTAATTGAGTTTGAAGTCAACGTTTCTAATCCCGCCACGTAAGTCACAATCACGCCATGTCAAATTTAAAAGCGCCACATCACATTTTTATCCCGGACGCGGATAAAATAGGACTAAAGTTGATTAAATGGACAATTTATAGGACCCAAAATGAAAGTGGCCAATGACGGAGTGCATTTTTGGAAAGTGGTCAACTTAGAGGACCAAAAATAAAATTTAGCCTTGAAATATCCGTTGGAATTTTCCTTGTAATATATCTCCATGGGAATCTAATTATTATTATTAATTTTTTTTTGTAGTGGTCCAAAAGATGGATGCTATTTTAAATACCGTATCGGTAATTATACCTGGCGAACCGCCGATATTCATTCCAATCGGTTTTATCTTTAATTTACCTATTTCAATAAATATTAAATTAGTTTATAATTATAATATAAATAATGTATTAAATTAACTTTAATAAATACTAAAATGAATTAAAAACTAATAATGTAAACAAATTTAAACAAAGTGTAAAACTTTCAATTCATATAAATATATTAAAAAGAATATATTAAAGAAACCTATGTGTTGATGAGCGTTTTCGATCAACGGTTAAAGTAGTATATAGTAAAGGTGCAGGACCGAAATAAAGAAGAGATACCGGTTAATTATGATTTTATTAAACGATCACGAGGTCGACCTCTCGTACGAGGTCGGCACTTGTGATATACTTACAACTCTTACAAGGAATTTCTTATAGTTTTAGAGAGAGAAAGTAGAAAGAAGGTAGAGTTAGTTGAGTTTTCAACAAATAGCATTGTTCACCGTCTTGTCGAACAGTTCTTCCGTAGTCTTGGCCGACACTTTTTCTGACTGAGCATTAAATGTGATGTGAAGACTCCCAATCATTACTAGCTACACATTTAATGCCCACATGGGCCACATTAAATGCCATGAACCTTTTTTCCCGGCTAGATCCCGCCTAGGGGCGTAGATTAGGTCGGTAAAAGGAATGATATTGACTATTCTCCACGTAAGAAAAGCCAGCTCATGCATGCTTCATGTGTGCAGACCATGCAGGAGAACACTGGGAGTAATAAATGAACCATGCACACCTCCATGCATGAAGACAAAATAGCAAAACGGTTTCTGCACCAAATGAAGAGGGAATCTTGTCCTTTTAACCTTTGAGGAAAATGTTTGGTAGTTTTACCTTGGACAGGTGTCCATATTCTAGACCTTTCTTATGTGTGTATATATAGCTCGATTTCAGAGCTGTTGGGATTATCTTGATGTAATCAAAATTCAGATCTATAGTGAAATACAAGAACAACATTCTTCTGCTTTTATTTTTTTTTCAAATGAAATACATGGAAACCTTTTAGTCGGCTTGTCTAATCAGCACTCATTAGTTGCCAAGTGGTGATATTATATTATTACCCCACCCTGCTCCTTCTTTTGGGTAGGTCTTCCAGGATTCTTGGTCGGTACCTGAGTGTTTTATCTCCACGGGGGACCCATGTGTCATAATTATGCACGGTACCTTATCGGGTCGGCATCGATCTCTTCCAAGACTTCAGACCATTGCTGTGACCGACTCTTATTTCATAACCAGGTCGGCACCGGATGCCGACCCCCGGTCCGATGCCGTTCATGGGGCCGTCACTTCTAGATTCTGTCCCCGAACCGAGCGGTTATTAGTCGGGCCGATCCGAATAACAACACTATGTATTTAAAAAAAAAAAAAAGAAAATACCGAATATTTGAACTAGTATTTTTGCCTGTATTTTTCAGCAAGATCGATATTTTTCGATGTGAAACGGTATAAACTAGTCTCCTGGCCAAAGTGGTATTTATTGGGTAACCATACCAACCAGATCACTGGTATCCGATATTATACCGGTGGGTATGGTATGATATTTAAACCATTGGGTGGATGTTTAATTGTTGAGTAATGCTATAAGTACATAATGTTGTACATAACACTCACATTGAGTGAGACCCACCAAAAATAAAAAATCAAATGGACCTCACTCCATGTAAGTGTTATGTACACCTCTATGTACAATTATTATGTACTTGTAACATTTTTCTTTAATTGTTTATGCATTGATATGTCTAGCACACATATACACACACACATATATATACACACATTTATTTATGTTGGGATGGAGAATATAATTTGCAAGTAGTACCACAAATTAAGTGATGCACTAGAGGTAAAAATGTGGAGCTTGAGAAGAAAGATATATTATTGAAGTAAAAGAAGGTGTGAAATATGATTTGGAGGGAAAAATTGGTATTTTTGTTAAAGATAAAGTGATAGTTTGTGGTAGGGGTTGGCAGCCTCCAACATTGCTTTTTCCATTACTTTAGTGACCCAATTCTCTTTTTGTTCTCTTATATATCAAAAACTCCCTCAACTTGTGAATCCTCCCCTTTTACAATTTGGGTAGCCTCATTTTTAGTCCTTTTCCTTCCTTTGGCTCTTCTATATAATTCAAGGCCTCCTTGTCTTTCCTCCCTTTCCTCCCTTTCCTTCTCTCTCTCAATCGGTTTGATTTTATACCTCGATTTTTATTTTTTTTTTTCGAATTAATCTTGCTAGAGATCGACTAGTTTTGTTCAACTAGTTGATTTGTTTTGGGGCCTTTGTTTTTGTGCAACTCATGTGTTTATAATTTTTTTGAATAAAGTATATACATATATAAGGAGAAGATTGCCATTTTCGATATATGGCACCGGTTTCATTGCCTCCTGGATTTCGATTTCACCCAACGGATGAGGAGCTCGTGGCTTATTACCTAAAACGAAAGATCAATGGCCGAAAAATAGATCTTGAAATCATCCCAGAAGTCGATCTCTACAAGTGTGAGCCATGGGACCTTCCAGGTGCACTTATAGCATTGTATATGTTCATGATTTTAATATACACTGATCTTCATCAAATTAATTAATGTTGGCATTTTATGTACATATATATTGCTAATTAGCCATGCATTTCGTAAATTATAGGTTAATTGGTAGCTAAAACGTTAGGTTACGTTACAACAACAATATTTTAATTAGTATCGTATACTTTGATTATGATCATGGCCAAGAATGGAGCACGATTGAAGAATGTAACTATCAAGAAAGGTATAATGAGAAAACCCCTTTCTTTGAAAAACCCCATTCTTATGATTGTTTTCAAGAATAATCATAACTACTACAACGCTAGTGTATTATACGGGTGTTTGTTAAAAAATTATTCATAAATTTTAAAATTAATGAGAAAATTATTTTAGCATTTTATTTATTTTTGTAACAAAAATTATATATTATTATAAATTTGACACTTGTTAGTTGTGTGATTTACATGTGTCATATTACAGTAACTTTGTAAAGATAAATATAATTTATTTTCTTTATACATACAATATGGAAGTTTAACAAGAGATGATTAATTTGATATATTATATATGTAAAACTGATAAGAAATAGAAAAATTATTAACTTTTAGAATACATTTACAATTCAACGGTTATAATAAGCTAAATGATATTAAAATATAATTAATACATGTAACATTATCATAAATAATCAACATATTTATAGATAATCCAGACTTAATTATTTTTGGATTGGAAACATGCGAGTCTGTCATTTAAGTTCTAAAACGTTCTTAATTAGCATATAACAGAACGAGGATATACATAATTTGTATACATATGCATGGATATGTTTTTTTTTTTTTAATGACGTAATCAAGCTTGTGGCCAAATATATAATAAGCTTTATATGTAAGGGCAGCAACTTTAATACATGAAGACCTTGACGAAAAAGTGGTATGGTCCCCACATCTTTCTAGGTCCAAATTTAGTAATTTACCATAAGAAGGAATAATAATAATAATAATAATAATTAAAAGGACAAATATTTAAGCACAAAAATAGTATCTTGTTACTGATTGCAGGAAAATCTTTATTGCCGAGCAAGGACTTCGAATGGTACTTCTTCAGCCCACGAGACCGAAAGTACCCAAATGGGTCAAGGACAAATCGGGCAACGAAAGCCGGATACTGGAAGGCCACCGGCAAGGACAGAATAGTAAATTCACAAACGAGGGCGGTTGGCATGAAGAAAACCCTAGTATTCTACAGAGGAAGGGCGCCTCATGGGGCTCGAACGGATTGGGTCATGCACGAGTACCGTCTAGACGAAAGAGAATGTGAAACTCCCATAGGCTTGCAGGTTCATAAAAAAAAAATTCTATTTTTGGCTCTTTATTAGTTTTTCATCAAATTTTGACTGTCATTTGTATTTGGTTAAATTATATTTTCAATCCTGCTGGTTTAATGCTGGTTTAACGCCAGACATATCATTTTTAGTCCCAAAATTCTAACATTTTGTCTTTTGATCATGCGATTTAATATTTTGCTGCAATTTCAATGCTTTGAGGACTGAAATTGCAATAAATTTTCAAATGTATAGTTCTTTGTTAACAATTTAAGTTTTATAATTTTAAATTTTGTTGCAATTTCATTTATGTTTAAAACTTTGTTGCAGTATCAGTCTTTTGAGGATTGCAACTGTAGCAAAATATTAA